AGATTTTTGTAGTTTTTTCAAATTAATTTGTGGAGAGATTCATCAAGAACTTGCTCAGTGACCAATATCTCTTCCCTGTATTTAATGTTTTATCATTTTTTCTCTATCTCTTGGTGGAATATCCTGTAGTTAATTTGTTTTATTAGTCTAAAGGTGATCCTTGAGTGGATTTTGTATTATCAGATGTTCTCTTTAGTGGATTTTGTATTATCAAATATTGCTTAATTGCTACATCTATCTTCGGCACATCATTTGATCTGGTAAAAAGCTTCGTGTTTAACCAGTTTCCGACCAATTTTTTTTTTTACTTTATTATCGTTCGTGTCAGCTCCAGCATCGGCTAATTTGGTTGCTCATGGGGACAGTAATAATAATAATAATGTTGTACTTGGACAAGAAGCAAGAGAAGTTGAAGCCATTGTGTATTTGTGAGTCGTAAATTTATGTCATTTCTCACGGTATTTGCATAGTAGTGCATGAGAATGAAATATGCCCATGTTGATTATTTTGCAGACAAGAAGCTGCTGGCGCATTATGGAATTTACCGTTTGATGACCGAAATAGAGAAACAATTGCAACAGCTGGTGGAGTTGAGGCTTTGGTATGGCATTCTGTTATTAAATAATTTCTAGAGAGTTCTTGTTATACTTGTTCAGTATTTATTTTCACTTGGAGTTAAGGTTTAAGCTAGCCATATTTTGAACAGTGTCTAATCATTTTTTTTTTTTTTTAAGTGATTTCATTTAGGCAGGAACTACCATAAAAAAAAGTGTTAATGGTGCTTTCTACCACTTAAACAGAACAAAACATGAAATGTAGTCATTTTTCTAAGAAAAATGAAATATAACCATATTGGCATGTAAAAAGACATAATTGTCCTTAGACACCACTTTATCAACTTTTTCTCATTTTCATTTTTTTCACCATTTTCTCCATTTTTTCTCCATTTTCATTTCCCCCTTCTTTCCCCCTTTATTCATTACATTTCACCGTCCTCATTTTTCATTCTCGGCGAATTTACGGCGATTCTCTCATTTTTGGCCCCGTCGGCGAAAAAAGGGCTCTCATTCTCGGCGAATTTCACGGCGAATCTCTCATTCTCGATACTCTCTCTCTCGGCTCTCATTCTCGGTGCTCTCTCTCGGTCCCGTCAGGTAGGGTTCACGGTACTTTCTCTCTGTGTGTGTGTGTACTGGTTAGGTCTGATTTAGTTTAGGGTTTGTAATCTCAGGCTCAATCCAATTTAATCTCCGGCGCAGGCGTCGGTGCAAATTCGGGACCGGAGTCCCGTCCGACGGACATCTAATACTCGGATCTACATGTATTGATGGCCAAAATCTTTGGGCTTTTTATTTTTTAATTTATTCATTAGAAAGTGAGAGACGGTTGTGGGTTGTGTTGTTGTTCAGGTGATCCCCATCAAAATTTTCACATTTGTTTTTCTTTTGATAGACTCATTTGCTGTACTGTAGATACTTTGTGAGATTTGGATAATTTGCTACTATTGAATTTTCTGATGTCTGTTATTTCTTCATTTCATTTATTGTTTGGTGATAATTATTTTGGGCTTTAGCAGATTTTTTTCCCATTAATTGTTCGATTTATTTTTCTGTACTTAAAAAAAAAAGGATTTGATAAGACCCAATACCATTGCATTGTTATCTTTGAGAATGCGCTAACTCCAAAAAAATATTTTTCTTTGTTGTGTTAACCAGGTTTTTGAAGGAACTTCTGGAATTGACAACAAATATACAACCGTCCAGTTTACTGGAGAGGTACGGTCGCACGTGTTTGCTAGTTTGTCTTTTAGAATCATCTTGTTATTGAATGCAATGCGACACAGTGTTCCATGAGTAATATATTTCCTTTAGGCGGTTGAATGGGAAGGGGCTTTACATGTCACTTCCTTTCTGTAATTTTGTTATGGTTAAGTTGAGTTGTGCCAAAGTGTTATATTTCCCAGAGGAGCACTCTACAAAGGTGGCTGCACTTATGAATGTTGCTCTTGATTAATCACTATTTATTAATTAATTGAATACATTTTTTTTCAAAGTGCAATTTTAGTTCAAGTGACAAAGTAGTTATGGCATATTGATAACAATTCATATTGGTCAACACAAGATTGATAAATTGTTGTTTACTTCTGTTTTTATATGTCATCATTATTGCTGAGTGAATGTATGTAATGTGTTACTGAAGACATTTGATAAACTTTGGTAAAAAATTGCCAACACTAATGCTCATATATACTTCCTGTTGTGTTGGTTGTTTAATCATTTCAGTCTGTAAATCATTTTATGTGAGTGATGGTGTGAGAGGGAAATTGAACAAAGCTTAAGCATTTAGATGATTTTGTGAGTGATGGTGTGATAGAGAAATTGAACAAAGCTTATTTTTGTTGTTAAGGTTTGCAAGTTATCTTCTCTCTGTGTTGTGAATCATATTTGATTTTTGTGTTGTGAATCATATTTGATGGTTAGAGAGTTTCTTGTTTTTGGAATTGATGTAAATGAGACTTTTTTAGTGTAGTGTGCATTCTTAAATGTAAATTGAGGCGTTTCTTCATGTTCTTAATTTGAAAACAGATCTTCAAACAAACATCTTAGCTCTTTGTGTTGCTTTTCTTGGAACACGGCGGAGATGACATCTACTAATGAGGTATGATGTTTTTTTGGTGAACAAAGATGTTTGTAGTTTATGTGAAAAAAAAAATGTCTTGTTTTGTTGAAGAAAATTTCTTTCCTCTTTATTTCCTACTCCTCCTTATTTCTTTCCTCTTTAGTTCCTACTCCTGCCGAACCAAAGACTAGAAATGATATAGATAGAAATCGAGTATTTTGGAACGAAAAGAAGAAAAAAAGCAGCACCCAAGTTTCCCGTGACAATAAGCAAAAACTAATGAGTTTATGTTTCATAAGTTTTTGTTTTTTGCTCAAACGTTGAAGAAGTTGTTTCTTCAACTTAAAACATTGAAGAAACCGGTTTCTTGAAGAAGAAACAGGTTTCTTGAGCAAGAAACAAAGATTTTTGTTGTTTGTGTGAAAGGTCTTTTTATTTTCAAGAAACCTGTATATTGCTCAATAAAACCTTTTTCTTCAGCTCAAGAAATCTTTTTATTGCTCAAGAAACCTGTTTCTAGACAAAAAAAAAAA